GTGTAACGTGGGAGGGAGCGAGTGCAGGGCTGTCCGAGACTTGGGGATGAGAGGGGCTGCTACTGATGGAGCCAAATGCTGGCTGTTCAAAACCCTGCGCAGCCGTTCTTCCTCATTTCACTGCTTGCTGTTATACTCCTGTCTGGTCGCTGACCGCTTTTTAGGGTGTTCTGCACCACTTCCCAGGAGTGTCACAGAAGGGACTCGTCCATGTAACTAAATAAAGAATCGTGTTAACTGGCATCTACTGAGGGCTTTCTGGGTGAGACACCGTATGAAAACGTCTATCAATATTTTCTTGTTTAATCCTCCTAACAACCTTACTAAGAAGGTTCTCTTGTCCTTGTTTTACAGATGTGCCAAATGAGGCACGGAGGGTTTCACTCACGTGCTTAAGTCTCACTGCTGGCACGTGGCGGAGCCAGGATTCGGACTCAGTTCCAGAGCCCACATTCTATATATGTCTGCTTCCAAGTGAACACTGCTGTCCCTCCTAATCATGAGATTTTATGCTCAAGTAATAAACTCTCCGTTGGACCAATTCTTTCTGAGCAGGAATGCTGTGTGCCTGAGCCCTGCACGTACAGATCAGACCCCAGCCTCTCCCATGCCTCCCTGGGAGTCCCAGGCTGGTGGCCCTCCGGGGTGGCTCCCGAGAAGGAAGCCGGGTGTGGCCTTATGCCCGTGCGACGGAGCCCTCACCTTCTTAGGACCTGGAACAAGGGGTCACATTGCGCCCACCCTGAAACTCGTCAAATTTTGGATCAATATCCTTTTCTTTTTGGCGGATGTCGGGATTTGATTTGTCCTTGGTACCTGTTAGGGTCGCAGTCACACCAGAGCCCACTCCTTCTGTGAGAATCCCCGTTGGCTTGGTCCTAACCGGCTGCTGTACTTCAGAAAAAAATTTTACATTTTTACACCAAAATATGTAAGTTGGAAAGCAAGGATTTTCCAAATACTCTTCCTGGACGTTTTCAGTTCACATACCCTAAGCCACGAAAAAGAAAAAGAAGTTACTGCCTGCCTGTGGTAGGTAAGGTTTTCATGGTTTTCTTCTAATTTTCCTTTTCATGCTCACAATTAAATTCATTCTCAAGGGCTTTTCCATTGTTTGGCGTTTGTATCTGATTGCATAATATTATGAAATATTTCTTAACCAAAGTTTTCTTTTCCCATTGCTTTCTTTCTTTCCTTTGCACTTCCCCTTCATCGAGTGCTCTCCCTGACCTCGCTCTAGGAACACCTGGGATCTTTTACAAGTTAACCCTGTCTGGGCTGAGTAAATCAGGATTTCCGGGGGCCTGGCCCAGACATGGGTACTTTTGAAAAGCTCTCTAGAGGATTCTGAAGTGTGGCCAAGTTTGAGGACCACTGGAGTGACCAAACTTCCTGTTTTCAGCGAGATTCTCATGCAAGGGATAAAAATTCAGAGAAAAAAAGAAATGTGTTCTTGACATTTGAGTTTTAGCAGCCTAGCAGGATAATGGAAAGGACACGAGACAGACAGAGGATCCGGCGACAACAGCATGAGTCATAGCAAGGAAAGGAAAAGGGTTCTTTAGGCTGCAAGGAAAGTGAAGGGGAGAACCAGAGGGGAAATGATGAGGCTTATTTATTTGGGGGTTTGGAGATCCTCCCAGACACAAGGGATAGACTGTGATGGGGGACCAGGTCGGACGACGGACATCTTCACAGATGCCTGCATGGGCAGACACATAGAAAATCAGATGCCAGACCTCTTCCTTGCCCCAGTCCCTTGGCACAACGCAGGCTTCCTCGACCTGAGATGCCACACTTGGGAAGGAAGGGGGACTATTGACTTATGGTGGAGGAGAGCTCAGCACGGAAGTTAGGTCTCAGTATAGAAAATAAAGACTGCTATATATCTTACGCAGCTGCTTCTGACATTTGTACATGTTGTATTTGGGTCTATCCTCTGGCAGTAAGAATAATGAGGAAGACTCCTCTGTTGGGCCCATTGATTCTGCTCAAGGCCAATGGCTTTGCCTTTGGCCACCTGGTATTTGAGAGTTTTATGTTCTTTTTTTTTAAAGATAGGCACCTGAGCTAACAACTGTTGCCAATCTCCTTTTTTTTTCCTTCTGCTTTTTTCTCCCCAAATCCCCCCGGTATATAGTTGTATATTCTAGTTGTGGGTCCCTCTAGTTGTGGGATGTGGGACGCTGCCTCAACGTGGCCTGATGAGTGGTGCCATGTCCGTGCCCAGGATCTGAACCAGTGAAACCCTGGGCCACCCAAGCGCAGTGCTCAAACTTAACCACTCGGCCACGGGGCTGGCCCCCAAGAGAGTTTTATGTTCTTAATAGAGGCCAAGGGAAACGACGACAGGGGATTGTGGAAGGTTGATACCAATCACCACTTGAACATGAACGCACGCTACCAAACCGACCAGTTCCTTTCGGGAGCACTGCCACGTAGTTCTGCGTCTCATGTCCTGTAATCTTACCCATCAGAAGAAGCAACTTAGTGAATTGAAAAATTTACAATTCGTTTTATTTGTGTTTGGAATAGGTAGTATATTCACATAGTTTTAAGTCAAGAGAAAAAAAAAGGATATATAGTAAAAATCTCCCTTCAGTTCTCGTCCCCCTGCTCCGCAGGTCCCTTCAGAAGCAGCCGGTGTGATCAGTTTCTGGGTGTCCTTTGGAGATGGTCAATGTACGTAGCAGCAAGTGAGTGAGGGTTCTCTTCTTTATTTCTTTTTGTCGTCAATTGGCAGCTAATATAAATTGATCTGGACCTTGATTTCTATATCAAGACATAATGGGGTCCTTCGTTCTTTTTATGGCTGAGGGGGGTGTCACTGAATGCATACACCAGGATTTATTTAACCACACCTTATTGATGAGTAGTTTTAGATTGTTTCTGTCCATTGAACGTTTCAAAAAATGACTGAAGAACGAGGATCCTCTGAAGAGCTTCTTCTCTTCCTCTTTCTCTAGACTTACCACTTTGGTAATGATGTATATGTATGAATTTCAATCGCTATTCCTTCAGTTCATTTAAAAAGGATTTTAATTTTACACATTAAAGGATACTTTATCACTAATTATTACATTTAGATTCTTACAAAATTTTATGAGCTTTTTTTGTTCATCTTTGCTAACCTCATAAAGTTTTTATGTTCCCAATTTTTGCTGTTTTGCATAATGTCTGTGTTAGTGCAATCAGTAGTCTGTTTCAATATGCTATCACGCTCTTTCACTACACCAAAGTGTAGAGTTAGAAATGTCATTAACAATGAAGTCATTTTCCATTTACACATCCTTGCTTGCTCTAGAATTACATGCCTTAACTGCTCTGGAAGCCTAGCTTAAAGCAACACCCCATCTTGCTGGAGAAACATATCATACTTTCCATTAGTTATAATTTTTCATAAATAAATTCAGCTTAGCCTCTAAAGGTGTTAAGATTTAAGCAATTTCTGAGTGAAAACGATATCTTCTGAAATGATGATATCTTCCTTTTCTACAACTGTTTGGTTGTGTTTTGAGATTCCATATTGGTGTTAAATAGATTTAGAATCACAGATTCTTATCATCGGTCATAAGATCCAGCCTTCAGTGACAAAACCCAGGACTCCTGTCTCCTGACCAAAGCTGCCTTTGCTTGGCAATTTTTGGGGGAAGGAAAATACTGGGAAAATTATTCCATTTTTTTAAAAGAGATTTTTCTACTTTTTGTGCTTAAATATAATTATCTTCTTTTCAATCAAAAGAACGACATATCACACTAGCTCTTCTGGTGACAGAGGGATTACACTAAAAACAAATGGTGGATGACATGAATCTAAAATCAACAGAAATCTGAAAAGGCATGAAGAGAAATTTTCAAAAGACACTGATTTCCCTCAAACCCAGGGTCAAAAGTATTAGAAAAAGCATGTTGTTAAGATTTTTATTTTCCTCGCCTACTCTTGAAATTCACCCAAATGAGACTTCAGATGCTAAGAAGATTCCCTAATGTTTGAAAGCATCATCTTATTCTGAAGATCCTGACTCCATATTCTGTTACTATCTTCATATCTTACATTGCTGTAGGTTGGGACTGGGCTAATGGTCAAGAGACATGTCGTTTTGAGGTGGCATTTGAAAAGGAGATCGCCACAGTTGATTTAAGACTCAAAAATTTTACCTTTCTCCATGGGACATATGGGCATAATAATTCCTATAGTGATGCTGTGTTTATACCTGATGCTCCATTGTTTTTGAGTGTCAAGCTTCCATCCTCTACTCCCCTGAAATTGCACCCAATTTTCCTTTGGAAAAGAATGTCTCATCTATTGGATGTAATGCTGATGAGACTGGTGTCCAAGGTGTCTCGCATTCACCTGCCATGGGGTGGGCATGTGATCCCAAGTTCAGTTCTACTCTCCCCGTGGAATGTGAATGTTAGGCAGAGGTGGAAAACAATTAGTATTCATTTGTTTGTTCAAGGGTGTTACCCCAGAAAGACTAACATTTAGCTCTTATTCCCTCATGAGATTTGTTTCTGTAGCCTTGCCTCCCCTTCTCTGAGCCATTCAATAAACTCTGTTTTTACTTAAATTACCTTCATCTGATTTTGGTTGCTTGCAACCCACAAACTCCAATGGATACAATAGCAAAGACAGAATATTGCTTGCAAATAGTTTAAATGTCTTCAGATGATACCATACCAGAATTCTGTTTCTTTTATTTAACTCCAACCAAAATGACCATTGTTGGAAGGCTAATTATGGGATCTTGCACAGCAAATGGAGTTGGAAAAACCCATATTAATTCTCAGTTTGAGGCTGGCCTGGGGGCTCAGCACTTAAGTTCACACGTTCCGCTTCTCGGTGGCCCGGGGTTCACAGGTTCGGATCCCAGGTGCGGACATGGCACCGCTTGGCACGCCATGCTGTGGTAGGCATCCCATGTATAAAGTAGAAGAAGATGGGCACAGATGTCAGCTGAGGGCCAGTCTTCCTCAGAAAGAAGAGGAGGATTGGCAGAAGATGTTAGCTCAGGGCTAATCTTCCTCAAAAACAAAACAAAGCAAAATAAAAACACACAGTTTGGAGTTGTTGGGCTTACACAAATATTTTGACAGGTCTGCTCTTTCTGGATCAGTTTATACCGTCCTTTGGATGAGTTAACCAATCTGGTGGTACCGTCACTGTAGCTCGAAATTGGGGAGCGGTGTCTGGACTCCGGCAGATTTCACAGTGAACAGGAGCAGCTGTCGCCCAGCCCTCACGCTGTTTTTCTCTGGTCTGCATCATTTGTGCTCCTACACCCATCTCCAGATTCCATTCTAGACTTTGGGACCCTTTTCCAAAATCTCTCTTTGTCATCTTCATCATGCTCCACAGGTGGACTCAGCTGGTCTGTGGAGGCAGCATGGATGTCAATTTGTAATTTTTTTGTCAATTCGTAATTTTAATTTTTGAAAACAAACTTTTTCCCAATAAGTGAAAAGACTGACCTTACACTACTCCATCTCTGTCTCTCAAAATCTGACCTATTCTTCAAGCATAGTGAAAAATCCCCCAAATTTTTATAATGCTTTTCTAGTTGACCACATCTAGAAAGATCCTCTCCCACTCTGACATCCTTTGATGCGGGTTGTCTGTACCAGTTTGTCGGTATTGCTGTATAACCTGGCTTCCTAGTTACAAACCTTCTTTCCTCTCCTTGTTCCTTAGCTTCTGGAGGCAGGCATTTGCATCTTCTCTAAGGCGAGGACGAATGAATGGCGTCTTTTTGCAGCGCTCCCTCCACCCTCTGCCCCAAACCAGTGATGTCAACAAGTGTTGATGAACCTTATTACTAACTGGATGGCACTCATGACAATGAGATTTAGTGTCAGCACAGCCATAGAGAAATGAATGTTCTGGCAGCATCAGAATAAGGGTGCCTCAGACTGGTTCACAGGCCGCTGAAGTCCACAGACATGTCTCAAAATATGTGTTTAAATTAATTGGAATTTGAAGACTTTCAGCAAAGCAGGTGCTCTCCACTTCACTGCAGGCCCCACCTCTCTCCTCTGCTCCCACTCCCTAGTTACACATTTTTGGTACTTGATAGGCTCTGAAGATCTTTGAGTTTGGGACCCCAATTAGGTTTTAAACCTTGTTGCTATATCTCCAAATACTCTGCATATCTGCCCGTGGATCTCCATCTTTCTCTAGTGTGTATATTTTAAAACTCCTCGACGAGAGTGATGCTTAACTGGAGGCCACTACAAAGCTAGGCCTTTGCTAAATATTACCAACTGTTGACCTTGAACTTGAGGTTGCCATGCGAGCAAATTCATGCCATGGATCAACACCTGGCTCTCCTGCTTTGAAGTCGTGCTTCGGCCTCAGGATGAGCTCTTCTCCTCTGTGAACTTGGCAAACATTTGCTCCCTCAGCTGCTCTAGTTCAAGCAAATAGCATGAAGAAAACTTACATTTGTAAGAGTGCTTGTGTGGTGAGCCTGGTGGCCGACGAGAGCAGCGTGACCATCTGGGTGTCTCTGTAGGCAAAGTATAAAGGTGCTAGGCTCTAGACGTGCAGGTTAACTAGTTTACCAATTAGATGTGCCAGCAAACACGAGACTACCCAGCAAAGCTTTTAGGAGACCTTTGTATGAAGGCCAGAGCTGTCTCCCCGAGGGGATAAGCAAATGCAGGGGACACCTCAGGCTCCTTGTGCATTCCTGTGTTCCTTCCTGGGTGGAGCTTGTCCTCAACACTGTCTTTCTATCTCAAATTGACCTTGAGGCTCAGGCTAGTTCTGAGACAGGGCAAAGAGAGGAGAGAGAAAAAGTGAAGAGCCAGGAATGACAGCAGGTGGTTTTGAAAAACAGCAGCAGGCGTTCTCAGAAGACCATTCAGTACCTCGGTGATTTTTAAAGTCGTAGAAGTAGACACAGGGAAAAAGTGGAGAAGGAAGATAAGGTGTCATACGTGTATTAGGACTCAATATGTATGTGTTGGCTGTTGATAAAGGAAAGCCTCTTCTAATTTTTAAAGTGAAATACTGTGATAAGTATATTTTATTTAATATTTTGCATTTACATATCATCTCACAGATTATAATTTCACTTATGACGCCACTGGAAACAATGCAGGAAAAGTAGGTAGGGAAGTGACACATCCTTTCTCAGAAGGGAAACCTACTCAGGATTCCCTTTGGGTCCTCGATGGCAGTGGCCCAAACGAAGCCTTCCAACCCCCTTTCGGAGCTCCTTGCCTCTGAAATAGTCTCAGTGTGTTTTTGAAATGGGGCTAATAATTAAATGACAGGCTCGTTATGGCATTTGGTCTTACCTCTTTGCATTTCCCCGTTGTGGGGGTGTGGAGGAGGAGGCGGGAAGCAGGGTCTCATCTCCCTCTGAGGGACGCAGTCAGTGTCGCCCCCACCCCAGCAAGGCTGATGTCCCGCGGTAAGGGCCCTGTCACTCTCCCTGCTTTCCTTAACGCCCTCGAGGGGCGTGTAGTGTGAGCATTGACGTGGAGCGGGTCGCCCAGAGTTATGTTTTATCCTGTGTTACTTTTCTCTAAGGGCAACGTTATCTATTAACCACCTTCTCTTTGCCCACGTTCCCGCTGGGTGTTGTGAAAAGTAGAGACAAAAAATTTAAAACTATGATAAGGAAAAACCTCTTTTGCAGGAGGTGGCACTGGGGGCTGGGAGGGAAATCGGTATGCTTGTGTCTCCCAGTTCTGTGAGTTTATGAACATAAATACGTTAGCTCTAATTTAATTTGTTCATAAAACTCTCATGCTAGGTGATTTCACTCACAGTGAAAGATGAGCAAACACGTGGACAAGGGAACAAAGAGAACAGATTAGTGGTTACCAGAGGGGAAGGGGGCTGGGGTGGGATAAGAGGTAAAGGGGCACACACGTGTGGTGACTGACAAATAATAATGTACACCTGAAATTTCACAGTGTTGTAAACCATTATGACCTCAATAAAGCTATATTAAAAACAAAAACAAAACAAAAAAAACCTCTCACACTAGGAATATTCTGGGTGTGAAAAGCCGTCAATAGGTTTTGCCTGGACTATTAACGATAACTTTCTTGTCGATGTCCTGTCCTCACTTTCTGTCACTCCCCAAGCGACACTTGTTCTCCATTAACTGCCCGCACTAGCTTTCTAAAGCATAGATGTGCTCACGGGGGTACTTTCCAGGACTCAGTCCTCCTGGGTGAGGGCCCTCACATCAGTCAGCCTGTGAGGCCTGGAGCCCGGCCCAGGCTGCCTCCCAGATCTTCACCCCGAATGCATCAGTCCCATCGCTCGCTCCCACAGCCTGGAGCTTTTGACCATGTGGCTTTCTCCCCTCAGGGCTCTCCTTCCCACTTTGCTCCTCTAACCACTTAGCGAGTTTCAATCTTTTAAAAAGTGTAGCTCAAATGTCCCCTTTCCAGAAACTTCTGTCTCCTCCCTCTAAAAACTGATTCCTCCCTCGTCTGTTTCCCATAAACTATCCTTATGTCACTTTTAGAGTTCTACTGCTATATCATAGCTAGTTGTTTAATGACTCATTTTGGAGAGTGGGGTGTGTGTGTGTGTGAAGAGAAAGAGAGTAAAGGAAGACAGCATGGAGCTTGGAGAAATGGAGAGTCTTTCAGAACAGGAGAGATCCCTGCAGGGCACACCCTGAAGGCCTGCGCTAGATTGTTCTGTTGATGCCTGTGCTTGGCACTGCCTTCCCTCATCAAGAAAAGGTGGCTAGCTCAGGGGGAACAGTTCTCTTGTGGAAATTCCCTGAGTGCTCCGGGACCTCCATCAAGAGCTCAGCACCTAGCCCAGGGCAGGGGGCTCAGCAATTGCTGGCAAAATGTACAACCCAGCAGACAAGAGGCTTTTCATCAAGGCGTGACACTTCCACCAGCATAGCCCCTGTCCCTTGACTTTGCTCTTAACGCCACCTCTCTCACCCACCCCTGGCCTGCCCGTGGATGACTCACTGCTACTTGCCTATGGGACCTGGGCCAAGTCAGACTTCACCTGCGTCTCCACATCTGTCTATATGTAGCCTGGTCACGGGGTAAGTTTCACACAACTGAGGGTCTGACACAACTCAGGCTCTGTGCCCATCCTACTCTGGCCGTGATAGAGGCACGTGGAAGTCAGCTCTTCTGCCCATCCAGACACTCCTCTCTCCCTTAGCTGGGAGTTGCCTGTTTATGAATTCTTTCTGCCTTCAGGAATGTCCTTGTTTTTGTTTTAACCTAATACCTTCTCCTCAAAATAAACCAACAAAAGCAAAACAAATCCAAAACACAGTCAAGGCTGTGCTCTCCTAGATGTGATTTTGTGTTTTCAAAAAACAAGTAAATTGCTGTGAGATCCTGGGTGAATTTCATCTCTTTGGTTCAATGCCTGATACCTGACATTAAAGCCTTAGGCAGTACTGATTAAAATCATAAACTTACTCAAATTTCACTCTTACCGATTTTTGTAGATAGGCAACAAAAAGGAAGGTTGTTTTTAGTCAGAGTGTTTTGAGTAGCAGATGATGGGATGGAGCAGTGGGGCAGCCAGAGGCCAGTGCAGCGCTGTTCCTAAAAGCCACCACTCCAAAAGATAAAGACCGAATGTCCACTCCTTCCCTAAGCTGCCTCCCTACTTGTTCTTCAAGGGGTAGGAGGCATTTCTCTCTCAAAATTATTAAACTTGCAAAATTTTAAGCATCAAGACAAGAGAGAATTAAAAGTTTTTCAAACTTGGGGAGGTATTATTATTGATTTCTTCATGTGTTTGAATTTGTCAAGTTTAATTTTTTAATCATTGCAATTGTTAACAAAAAAAAGGTGAAATTCCACACTTTTTAAGTCCAACATAGTTTACTCTTTTCTGAAGAAAATAATCAGGCTGGCACTAGGAACAAAACAATGCTACAGAATTTGGAACGTATACTTGGTAAGGTTAAGGGAAAGAGAGTTTTTAAAAGCATATTTATGGATTCAAAAAGTATATCCATAGATCTTAAACTTTATAGACGGTGATCACATATTCATTTGGAGTTTCAAAAAGTGACCTCTGAAGCTCTATGTTCTAGAAAATATTAAAAAGCAGATTGAGAGACTTTTGCTTCTAGTCAAGATAGAATAACAGGGACTGGATTTATTCCCTGGCCTGAAGTAACCAAAAAAATCAAACAAAAATATGTGGAAAAATGGCCCTCAACATATAGGGCATCAGGTAATGAAGGACGATGACCCCAGAGAGTTGGGAAACAAATTCAGGGAGCCCTGGATCCCCCTAGCTGACTATGTGGGAAGAGTTTTTGGTTTGCAGGGCAGGGAGGGGGAGCTCGGCAGAATCTGGTGGTCCCCTTGAGTGGAGAAGACAGGTCGGCGAGGCTGGGGAGGCCAAGGGTGCTAGGTTTCACAGGGCAGAGCTCCTGAGAGGAGAGAGCTGTCTGTGGAGTGAACTCTGGACATCTGTTGTGTTCATTTAAGCACTAGTCAGTGCATGTGTTTGAGGAAATGGGGCTGGGGCAAGAACCGCCCAAAAGGATTAGGGGAAACTGTACCCAGTGTTCACAAAGTCAAAATAGTGCCTGTTCCCAACAGCCCGAGTGGAGAATCAATTAAAAATCATGTTGCCTCAAGACTAGGGAAAAATTAAACCTGGATTAAATGCTGCTCTGGTACTACCTAACAAATAATAAAAGCAAGACTCAAGAGATTTAAACTGTTTTCAAATAGTTTATTGTTACTGCATCATTGAACAAAAGCTTAAGGAAAGTTATAGGAATACAAAAATATTTAGCACTCAACAGATAAAATCCATGAGGTCTGGCTTCTAGACAAAAATTCACAGTGATAGACTTAGTAAACAAGGATGTTAAAACAGCTATTATGACTGTATGTCACATGTTCAAAAGGCCAGAGGAAAGATCGTACATGTTACACAGAAATATGGAAGAAAAAAACCCCCAAATTGAACTTCTAGAGTTGAAAGCTGCAATGTCAGAGATGAAAAATACATTGGATAAGATTAACAGCAGATTAGATATCGTGGAAGTATTAGTGAACTTGAACAGAGAAATAGAGACTATCCAAAATGAAATTAGAGAAAAAACAAAAATGAAAACAAAATGAAGGGAACATCAGTGAACTTTGGAACAACTTTAAGCAACCAAATATACGTGTAATTGGAGTCCCCAAAGAGAGAGGGCATACAGAACATTTGAATGGCCATAATTTCCCCAAATTTGATAAAAACCATAAACCCAGATCGAATAAGTTCATCAAATTTCAAGCGTAAGAAACATGAGGGATGGCCCGGGGTTCACCAGTTCAGATCCCGGGTGCAGACATGGCACCACTTGGCAAAAGCCATGCTGTGGTAGGCATCACACATAAAGTAGAGGAAGATGGGCATGGATGTTAGCTCAGGGCCAGTCTTCCTCAGCAAAAAAGAGGAGGATTGGCAGTAGTTAGCTCAGCACTAATCTTCCTCAAAAAACAAAACAAAACAAAAGAAACATGAGGGAAAGACACTGTGGTACACGATAAGCATGTTGCTTAAATCCAGTGAAACAGAGAAAACCTTAAAAGTAGTCAAAGAAAAAAGATAATTACATACAGAGGAGAAAAATAAAAATAACTGTAGCTTTCTTGTCAGAACAACGCAAGCTAAAAAGGAGTGTTCTGAAAGAAAAAACCTGCCACCCTAGAATTCTCTACCAGTGACGTCTTCTTCACTCATACACAAGCTGAAAGCGTTTATCACTGCCAAACCTGGACTACAAAAGCATGATCTATAAAAGAAAAAACTTATAAATTAGACTACATTAAAATAAAAAACTTTTGGGGCCGACCCCGTGGCCAAGTGGTTAAGTTCTCGAGCTCTGCTTCAGCAGCCCAGGGTTTTGCCGGTTCAAATCCTGGGCGTGGACATGGCACCGCTCATCAGGCCACGCTGAGGCAGTGTCCCGCATTCTACAACTAGAAGGACCCACAACTAAAAGTACGCAACTATGTACCAGGGGGCTTTGGGAGAAAAAGGAAAAATAACAAATAAAATCTTTAACAATATGCAACTATGTGCTGGGGGCAATTATGTACTAGGGAGAAAAAAGAAAAATAAAATCTTAAAAAGTAAAAATAAAAAACTTCTGTTCTTAGGAAAACGGTATTAAAAGAATAAAAAAGCAAGCCTTGAACTGAGATAAAATATGTGTGTATTGCATATCTGACAAAGGACTTGTATCCAACATACATAAAGAACTCTCAAAACTCAATAAGAAGATAACTAAAACCCAACAAAAAATGGGTGAAAGATTTAAACAAGCACTTCACCAAAGAAGATATATGGATGGCAAATAAGCATATGAAATGTTGCTCAACGTCATTAGTCACTGGAGAAATGCAAATTAAAACGAAGAGATACAACATATACTTATAAAAGTGGTTTACATTTAAAGAATGACAATATTAAGTATTGATGAGGATCTGAAACAACTGGAACCCTCATACACTCCTGATGGGAGGCTAAAATTGTATAACCATTTTGGAAGTAGTTTGGCAGTTTCTTCAAAACTT